GCGACTATTTATATACTATTATTATTAATAATAATTTTATTTAATAAACATATTCTATTGTGTTATTCAGTAGTTTAGGCGCTTGTTCTTCGATTTCAAAACACCAAAACATTGCAGAAATCGAAGGGCCAGTGTGTTCACATTCGTTAATCAACTCTGTTAAACGTTTAGAGACATTCCTAGATTTACCCGGATCAACTAAAGTGCGTAAATCGAAGAACTTTCTACTTTATAGTTTTGTTATTCAATAGATTTAAACATAAGATTTAACAACAAAAAAAGTATATATATATACATTCAAAATATATTTATTTGTTATAAAGAAATATTTAACAAAAAAAAATGAATCATATTTCTATATAAAAATGCGATCACTTTTGTTTCCTTTCTTTAAAATTCTGCGAAATAACGAAAATTTTTATTTATTTCTACTTTATTTTCCATTTTTATTCAAAATATGTATTTATATGTTGTGTACTATTTTCAATGGTCGATTTAATTAGTGCATTTCACTGTTTCCATTATGTTATGTGATTACTGAATATTCTACAAATAAAATCACCTTCATAATACAATGAATTGTTCGTTTTTTTTTAATCCCAGCTATTTTGTTTTAATCCCCGAGTAAAATACAACTAGAGTAAGTATATTTGTACATTATTCTGCTTCACAATGGAAGTTATTTCAATGAGATTTTATAAAAAAAATAAATTTCATTCGCATTTAATTTTAATAAAAAAAAATATATATTCGTGTTGGGAAAATTTATATAATAAATACATTTTCGAGTGACTGAATTATTATTATTATTAGAATATGCGGTATTTTATTATATAAAAATAGCACACAAAATGCATTTATCAAATTTTCGATTTTAACATGATTTGAGCGCAAAGCGCTTCGATGAATTACGTTGAAAGCTTCATTACGTACATTTACAATATAATTATAGCCGCTTGTCCGCTTTATCCTACAATTCTATCAATTTTATATAATTCCAGATTTTATTTAAACATTTTAATTAATTAATCTATCACAGATTTACCAGAATTTATCAAATTTAAATCAAATTACGTTCAATATATCAGTTACCACATTGAAAGCGGGAAAGATTACCTAACTAATGTCAACCGCGATCTTAAATTTACTCAATGCTCACATTGATGAACAGATTGTAAATAAAATTACACGACATAAAAAAAATAAAATTTTAAAATCAAATCGTTGCATGCGTTTATAATATTTAGCGTTTTTGAATGTCAAGTTTACAATGAGAAAGGTCAAAGATCAAATTGAAAGTTTCCACAATAAATTAAAGAAACGTTTCAAATCTTCATCCAAAATTTACTTAATACCTTCTGCATAAATTATGTAATTAAGGAAAATCCGCATTGAATAAAATATTAATTAATTTTTTTTGTTTTAAAATTTTGTCAAATTTATTTATGTCTATAAGGTCGTTGGCCACGAGAGGAGAGAAAAAAATCGATTAAAAAATCATCTCAATAAAAGTATAAAAAAAATGTTAAAGATGTTTATGTTAAAAATTATATAATTATAGATAGATATTAATAATTGTAATTTTTTGAGATAATTGCAATGTCTTTACATTTTATTTAATTACTCGATAATTACACATGTCAATTAGAACATCGAATATGCAAATTAAAGATAAAACTATAGTCTTTCTAATGAACATACCACCAGTTTTGATGTTTTTAACAATTTTGAGTAATCAATTATTAAATTTTAAAATGTATTATTTTTATATTTTATTTGATTAACCGCTAGTCCTAATGCAGAAACCGTGTTCTTAAAAGCCCCTCGTCCATGTCCGAACCTTCTGCTTTTAACGTCCTCATTTAAATTCAATCAATCAAATTTGTAAAGAAGTTAAGGGCGTTTCCCTAAATATATTTACCACGCTGTCAAACATTCAAAATAAAAGTTCTTTTACTTTGTTTCATGTATTTTGGAAATAAATGAAATAATCAACAGCAGAAACACATCAAAATTATAATTAGTTGTGTTAATTAATAATATATTATTTTCATTTTTCAATGCTTCCTTATTATATCCTAATATAATTAAGTCGTGCTGTCTTTCGCGTTTTTTCTTAATTACACCAAAATTACCTTACTTTTATTGCATTTCATGATTGCGTAAGTTGGACACCACCCTTACTCAACTTTTTATAAAACAATAGTTACGTAATGTTCGTTGCGAAATAGGGAATAGACGATTTTTGCAATTTTTTTCAATCTTTCGTGAATTTCTGGACAAGCCTTCTAAGAGCTGCAGAAATTGGAAGAAAAGTGAATAGGATTTACTCAAAAATCGCTATTTAGTTGAGATCCGATGAAAATTACGTAACTTTTGTTGCATTTCATGATTGCGTAAGATGGGCGCCACCCTTACGCAGATTTTGAAACAAAAGTTACGTTATGTTCGTTACGTAACAGGGAATAGACGATTTTTGCGATTTTCATTCAGTTTTTCCTGCATTTCTCGACAACCCCTTAAGATAATTACATGATCGACCATACAATTCAAAGCTGAATACCTCACCATTCCAACGAGCCTATTGTCATTTTCGTACTATCGCGCAGTCACCTGCTAAGAGCTGAAGAAAATGAAAAAAAGTGAATAGGATTTACTTAAAAATCGCTGTTTGATGGAAGAAAAGAATTTTCTTTAATAACTCGAAAACCAATAAACTTTTGTTGCATTTCATGATTGCGTAAGATGGGTAATGTTCGTTACGTAACAGAGAAAAGACTTTTTTTTTTGTATTTTTTTCAGTATTTCGCGAATTTCTCGACAACCCCTTGAGATAATGAAGGTGCCTCCAAATCGCAAAAATAAAGATTTTCTTAGTAGTGACAATATGGGGCTTCCAAAGTCACGATGCGCTACTGTTCGTGCATTCTGAGAACAGTTTTTAATTACAAAAAGAAAAACAAAAAAAAAACTTTAATTAAACTCGTTTGTGATCGTTGCGCTTTGCATTTCACAGCGTCTCTCTATTTATTTTGTTTCATGTTGTTTCAGCAGGCAATTTAATTAACAGCTCGTCGCGTTTGAAACGTGATCGTTTGTTCAGTAAAATATGTTTCATTTTATTTTTTCAGACAAATATTGAAAGAATAATAATAATAGTAACAATGAAATAAATTGTGCGCACATTAAAAACGAGTAATTGAAAACAAATATTTACACGTTTTTGTCATTTTTTTTTCAGAAAACAAACAATTTATTTATTAATCAATGCGTCGAGCCTCCAACCCTCCTGTATTGTTGATTTATTCCATGCAACGTTTTGGCATATTTTTCCCCCATCTACCTTTCGTTCGATCTCCGTTAATGAAGCATTTATATTTCATTTACTTTTTGTATAAACGTTGAAAAAAATAAATAAAAAAAAAATAAGGAATATGTACATACAAAAATTAAATCAATATAAACACTTTTTCCAGCGAAAACGCTGCTCCCTAGCCGCTAAATCGATCCGTCCTTATGTAATAATACCTTATATAATAATATCCATATGTATACATATATAGCTTTGTAGCGGCTAATTATCGCCCGTCAAAAGTCAAATTAATGTCCAACTTGTTTACGAAACCGGTATTGTTCCGCGCAAACTTGATTTATGTCTACTAAAAATTAACGGTAATTTATTATTATTCTCCTTCTTTTTTTTCAATGTTTAGCTTTTGATTTAATTCTCGTTTTATTATCCTCCGGTTAAATGGATTTCAAACGCGGATGCCTCATTGTTTATAGATGTCCATTGCGAATGCCGCTAATGAGTAATCCCCCAGGATGGACGGAAATAATCCACAGACTTTGTAAAAATGCGCTGCAATCGACGCTTACGTAATATTTAATCAAATGCCTGCATAACACCGCTTCGGGATATTTTTTTCTGATTGCTCGAGAATGAAACGAGACATCGATATTTGATGGAATTCTTGTAATCCCGAGGGCACAAATAATGAAATGCACTGTATTATTTTCATTATTCGACTAGATTTCGTATTATTATGGCTTTGTGTATTTGAAATTAGATATTCAATCCTGAAGAAAGAGATCAACAGTATTTATATTTAGGAATAACTGCGATCAATAGCCCTGTGTAAATGAATTTCTTGTATTTATGTAAACAATAAATGTGACTTTACTACTTATTATATTTAGTATTCAAGCGCTAATAATTCAATTTTACTATAAAAATCATTCAAGTAATTTATTGAATTAGTCACAAACTGAATTATTTGATCTTCATTAAACTTTATGTCTTGAAGAATCTAAAAATAACGTTTGTTTTCCTAAAAACAGGATATAAAATATGTATGATTATATAACAGTAAAGTAATTAATAATTTATTATTCTTTAGTTATGGAAGTTCGATAGAGTCACAATCTGCATAAGCAATGAAGTTTTAATAAATTTAAGTGTGATTTCGCCTAGTTAAGTTTTGTTGTTGCAGTATTAAATTTTCAAATTAAGTTTAGGAAAGTTGAAGAACATATCCGGTGGCATCGGAATCGCACATGCGGAACGTTTGCGATCAATAGAAAAAATGAATTTGTAATGTGGCTGGCACGTGTATTTCTAGGTGTTAATTTGTGCCAATTGGTTCCTGGCTCCATAGGCACCCGCATATAGCCTAAATATAATTTATTTGCAAGAATGGAAACTAATTTAGCACCACTATCCGAATACTCATTATGGTCGTATTCTATTTTTGTTTCAGCTTTTGGACTGATGCCATTCGGTGCAATAATTTATGTCCCAATGTATGACCGAGTTCCTGCTCGAAATAATTGTATTTGTATTTAGCAAATTGGCTGTTGAATTATTGTTTAATAGGGATTTGTTTGAATGCGGAGCGTTAGGGGAAAATTCAATTTGCATTGGTATTTGCTTTGAGTTTAGAGGGATTCGGTCACACGATTCATGTTTAATTAAGTTCAGAAAATTTGCCTTATTGATATTAGTTCAAACAATGTCGGTTTTTGTATTTAACAGCATATAAAATATTTATTGATAAAAAAAATGTAGTGTATAAGGGTTGTGGGAATAAGTGTATAAATAGTTTAACTCTTTGCTTCAGCGTTGGCGTTTGATGTTGCTAGTCCACCCCCGAAACTAGGGTATTTCCCGTTAAATCCGCCGCTTTGGCTGATACTGTGGGAACTGGCTGAAGAGGATGTGCCTTTAAATCCTCCGTTTTCGAAGGCTTGGGAGTTAGCGGTGCCACTGGATTCGGATAATGCTCCTGTTCCTGATGCAGTACCTTTAGCAGAACCACCTCCATGTCCGCTACCACCTCCGGCTCCACCACCGGCACCTCCACCGGCACCACCTCCACCACCGGCTCCATTTCCTCCTCCGAATCCTCCTCCTAATCCTCCAGCACCACCTTTTCCGCCTCCGAATCCTCCACCTGATGATCCACCGAATCCGCCTCCAGAAGATCCACCGAACCCACCTCCAGAGGATCCACCGAAACCACCGCCGTTGCCTCCGCCTGATCCACCTCCTTTGCCACCGCCGAAGCCTCCGCCGCCAGCTCCGCCAAATCCTCCGCCACTAGATCCACCGAATCCTCCACTGCCTGATCCTCCGCCTCCCTTTCCACCGCCAAAACCTCCTCCGCTGGATCCTGCACTGCCAGCTCCGCCACCAGCTCCGCCGAATCCTCCACCATTTCCATGACCTCCTCCATTTCCACCGCCAAGGCCTCCTCCATTTCCGCCTCCGTTGCCTCCGCCAAAACCACCTCCATTAGCACCACCTTTTCCACCACCGAATCCACCTCCTCGTGATCCGCCGAATCCACCTCCGTTTCCACCGCCAAGTCCTCCTCCGTTTCCGCCACCTTTTCCACCCCCGAATCCACCTCCGCTTGATCCTCCGAATCCACCCCCGCTTGATCCTCCGAATCCACCTCCGCTTGATCCTCCGAATCCACCTCCGTTTCCACCGCCAAGTCCTCCTCCGTTGCCGCCACCTTTACCACCGCCGAATCCACCACCGCTTGATCCTCCAAATCCACCTCCGTTTCCACCGCCAAGTCCTCCTCCGTTGCCGCCACCTTTTCCACCGCCGAATCCACCTCCGCCTGATCCGCCGAATCCACCTCCGTTTCCACCGCCAAGTCCTCCTCCATTGCCGCCACCTTTTCCACCGCCGAAACCACCTCCGCCAGATCCCCCGAAACCGCCGCCGCCACCTCCTGATCCGCCGAATCCACCACCGCCTCCACCATTTCCACCGCCGAGTCCTCCACCATGTCCACCTCCGTTTCCACCGCCAAGTCCTCCTCCGTTTCCACCGCCGAGTCCTCCGCCATGTCCTCCTCCGTTTCCACCGCCAAGTCCTCCTCCGTTTCCACCGCCGTGTCCTCCTCCGTTATCACCGCCACCGCCGAGACCTCCGCCGCCGCCGCCACCTAATCCTCCACCGAGTCCTCCGCCTAATCCACCGCCGCCAGCACCAGATCCACCTTTACCGCCTCCATAACCACCTCCGATACTGCTAGCTTCGGCGCTGGCTTGAGATGAGGCAGAAGCAATACCGCCACCGCCTCCTCCATAGCCATGTCTCTTAGGGTTAGCTTCCCTCCCATATCTAGGTACAAAGTCACCATCTAGAAACAAACACACAGACACTGTAATATCCAATAAGGGATTATCAAACAAAGTACTTACCTCCATGGGTACAAGCAATTAGCACCCCGGCTACCAGTAAAAGAGCGCACTTGAACATCTTTGCAATGAGCAAGCAAGCAATGATGTACTGTCGATCTGTTAGATGCATACGATTTATATACACAAATCCACCCGATTTTTTTTATTCCATTTGCATGTCGATGTTTGTTGTTTTTTTTTTCTCTTCCTTCTCCACCTCTATTGTGTTATGCATTTTTTTTCGACGCCGCCTCCCACCATCTAATTGTTATGTGTAATTAACATCTCCCATCGGGAATATGAGTTTTTCAGACTCCGTTGTTTACCGGCTCACTTGAATCTCCATCGCACATACAATTCGATCATCGCCGAGTCAGGGTCACGATTTGCAAAATAAAAAATACAAATAAATAATAAAAACAAATTAGCCGAAATACGAATAACGTATACTAAGACATAAATAAATAATATACGAACAACAGGACGCGGAAACATATCGATGAAATTGGTATTCATTGGCGTTGCGATGTGTATAATTAATTGGTGAGTGATGTACGTTGATCGTGTATTTATATAGACACATAACGATATCTATGTTTAATGTGTATACAGATATATACATTTTGGGATATTCGGTGACAAAGGGAGCATTATTAAAATCCATGTAAATTGCTATCAAATGTTTCGATAAATATATATTTCAATGATCTTGTAGATTAAATTACTTTAGGCAAGGAGTATATAAAATATATGATCAGATAGTTAGATTAAATTTGTATTCATTTCATTAATTATGTTTATCATTCAATTTGTAATTGTTTATTCCGCTCGAAAAGTTTTTAATTTGAATTATTTGCTACGGCGGAGTGAGAGTACTGCGGTTTTTCCTGAAGGACGAACACGGCGAGGAACTTATTTATGGACGCTAGCAAATAAATAGATTCTCAATACTAATTAAGATCCGACGGGGAAATCCGAGACAATACATGTGTCTGCACGAGCCAAGAGCTTACGCAATCCGGCCGTATTTTGGAAGAGTCAACAAACCTCATCTGATGGAATGATGGACCTATAGATGATTCCGAAACCAGATTATGGCCGTGATCTTTACGTGTTTCAATGACCTTCTTTCGGACAAGTCGGACCATTCCTCAAAATCGGACGTGTAAAGGTTGCAGACTGAATGCGCTTTAGGGTTTATTTACTGGTACGGTAAGGTTTATTCAAAATAATTACAAAATAATTTACATTTACAATACAGAAAATAATCAGTTCAGGGTTAATATTTGTTGATTTTCTTCTTATTGATCTGATTACCAATATCCGCCGTGTCCTCCATAACCACCATAACCACCACCGTAGCTGTGTGTTACGTAAACCTTTTGGTATCCACCGCCGTATCCTCCGTATCCACCGCCGTATCCTCCGTATCCACCGCCATATCCTCCATATCCGCCGCCATATCCGCCGCCATATCCTCCGTATCCACCGCCGTGTCCTCCGTAACCGCCATATCCTCCGTGTCCATATCCTCCATATTTGCTCTTAAGGGCGTATAATCCACCTCCGACAACAGCGGCTTTAGCTAAACCTCTAAAAAAGATAAAAACAATTATTTTTTTAATGAAACTCTAATAACCAAAAAAATAATAAACATGTACAAATGGTAGAGTGATGCGACAGGATAATAAAATTCATAAATGTCAATAATCAAATGCATCTTGACATTTATTCTTTAATAAAGAGAACCGGATTTTAATCCGTAATTAATTCACGCCATTTCCAAAAATACTATTACCAGAAAACGAAGCAACAGAAAACAAAACCGTTTCGATTAATTAACTGTCGACGTTTTTTCTATGCAGAATTCAATTCCGAAAATCGTGATCGCAGCATTTCATCGGAATATAATGGTAATAACAATAATTTGAGAAATAAAAAAAAATATATACAGTTTCTTATTATGAATTTATAAACAATAAGAATTCCACCTTAATGGTATTTCTTATAAATAAAGTGGCAATTAATTATTGTTTCTCGGGAAACACGTACTAAGCGGGATTTGGTCCGAGGAAACGAAAAATATGCAAATAATAATTATAGCGTTACGTAACCAATGGTTGGGATTATCTAGTGAACGATTTCGGTACGGTCTTAAGGTGATTTAGATCTAATGCAGTTTTATTTTTATTTATTTTTTATGTTTAGAGCACTACTGACCCGGCGGCGGCTAATCCTAATCCAGCAGCTCCGATTCCAACACCGGCGGCTCCTAATCCTAGAAGACCAACTTTGGCGGCTCCAATTCCAAGTGCAGCTTTGGCCAAGAGGATGCCACGCTTCTGCCTGACAATAGGCTCCTGGGGCTTTTGGACCTCTTCGGCGAGGCACAAGCACACCGCGGCGACGGAGAACACAACCAATAAGCAGTGGATCTTCATATTCGTAGCTGTCGTTAACTGATACTGACAATCAGCTATTCCCAGAATATATACCTTACGAAGTACACCTGTGACATCTCTTTCTAAACCCCTCTGCTCACTCTTACCAGTGTCATAGCATTGAATCACCTTACCGAATTCCCGCCCAAAAAAAGAAAGAAAGAACGCGAGAAAGAAAAAGAAACGCGAACGGGTCGCTAAATTTTCAACAAGGACATCACATAGACGCAAGGCGACGCACACCCAATGAGACATGCTAGTGTCAACACAGAAATCTTCAATTCAAGAACACGAGCCTCATCTTCCTCATTTACTATGCAAAAATGTCTAATCCGCAGTTTGGAACTTCCCTAAACAAATCTCTTGCAGACAGCATTGGCATTTAGCAGAAGACCTCGTACCTGCATCCGATAAATATGCAATTAGCGCAGGTGGCTAAGATGAAGAAAAAGGAACGTTTTTAACGTAAATTATTATTCTTATTATCATCATCAAACCAGAGTCAATATTGATTCAAGTAACTTAGCGCAGATTTTGTAATAATTCCACTTATTGCTGTGCAAATATTGTTTCAATCTTTGGGTCAGGTACCTTTCGGCGTGAGTACAAACGAAGAAACCATGCATTTTCCAATTAATACAGGTATGAAATTTTCGCGGCATTAGATAATCGCGTGTTTTACAACATCCGTATAGGCCCGAAATTTCCAGAAGATACGTGCACAAAATAGTCAATCGATGGCGGTGAAAAACAGCATTACGTATGTGCAATACGAGAGGAGTAAAAAAACATAATGTGTATCGACTTAGGTAAGAAGACGTGACACTTTCGGAATTAATTTCTATGACAGTGTAATAAGCATTACAAAAACTCCAAATATAACGCCCGTCGTCCTTAGAATAACTTTTAGCAATGCACCGCATAAATTATTCAAACCATTCGGTTGTTCAAAAATAAAAACGCTACAGGCTCGTCCAATTAATTTTTTTTTACTCTTAACTCAAAAAGTTCAACATTCCGTATTTCGGGAAATAAATTTTATCTAGCCATTTGCATACAACGTGAATTGTTACACAACTACGGGAAGTTATTAATAGATTCAGGTAGCACAAAGGGGTTGCTTATATAGAAATAATATGTGAACGAAACAAAGTTGCTTGGCAACTGTAGCAGAATTGAATGAATTAGTTCTGACAAAGGCTGCAAATTCCTCTTTACCTGAAATGCAATACAACAATAACCGTTCCTTAATGAAACATAAAAGGAAGTGTTTCCTTTATACTCATCAGCTTTGCAATAATCGAATTTATTTCACTCTTCACATACCGTGGAATGCTTTTATTTATTTATTCATTATTTTTTTTCTACTGTGAGCACCGACGCAATCAACAAATCGAATTTACTTCCTCCCGTTTCTCAATTCTGAAACACGTCAAAAACATATTTTATTTACGTTACACAGACGCTACCAGTGACAAATCATTTCTAGAAATAACAAGTTTCCATGCTGGAATCGACCTTTTCCTCTTTTAATATCAATATACAGTGGTACCTCGCTTAACGATGAAGAAAAATCCCGGATTGCGCGCCTTTGTGTATTTCTGAATATGTTTCACTATACTAGTAAAAATCCGAAAAATTTTGACTCGTTAAGCGAGGTTCCTCTGTACTTATATATTTATCTTAATTATAATTAACAATATATGATTTAATTAGATTCCAATTTCGAATTCAAAATTAATTGGCAATTATTATTACAAATTTCTAATACAAATTAAATATTAAAAGCACGGAGATTATAAAGTCAATTCATTGATAGATATAAAAATATATTTAAAGTTTTGAAGTATTCAAAAACTAAACTCGAAACTGAATAAACAAAACGGAGGATCTATTATTTGCTTAACGGAAACCATTAAAGTAAACAGATTATTGTTTACATAAAGAACAAAAAAAAGTAAAGTGCAATTATTATAAAAGCCGATCTATTTATTTGAGTTAAACCATCAGACTTAACAAAATAAACTATTATTCTTTAGACGAAGCATTATTTTTTCACTACAATCTCAATGTATTGACATGCAGCTTGTATAAACTTCGGAAGTAGAGCATATTTATTCTCGTAATATTATTTTCGGAGTCGCGGTTTATACTTAGAACTTAATTCTGCATTTAACTTGTTTGCAAACATTCCACTTATATCTCCCGAAAAGTACAAGCGCAGAACAATGGAATTTCTAAACCGTGTGAAAAATAAATAGAACAATTTATCAACAATTAACACCGAAATACAGACAGACAAAAAAAAAACATGGGTTTTCCTTTTCGTAGATGCGAAACGTCACGTCACAAATAAAATACAATATTTAAATTGTAAGAAGGACGTGATAAAAATACAAAAATTATGAACCTGACTAATCATTTCGACAAATCATATAAAATAGACATATTTTGTAACTGTACAAGAGGCTTTGATGAAAACTACTGAATATGTAAAAATAGTTGCTGCGCATAAATTATGTCCTCATGCATAAAAATTATACGTTTTGTAAGAGCTGCTTTAAATAAATTTCTGTGTTTAATTGCTTTTTTGTAGACTCTGTCCAACGCAAACCACAAACTACGGAGATGTTTGAAACTAGGAATTACGATTAACTGTGTTAAATGTTTAGTACGTTCCTGTTGCAATTCCTGTTGCAAACAGCGAATTCAATAATTTTCCGCTCATGGTAATGAGCTGGACTTGACTTTGGTTTGGCACAATAAGTTCCTAAGCTAACATTAGAAAGTCGATACATTGCGTCTTCTGGGAAACAACATCTGCATTTCCAAGGATTCTCTGCTGAAATTTCGAATTGGATGAAATATTGTATACCAAAATTATTGATAACATAAAACTCAATATTTCAAAGACCTTCCAAATTTTATCAAATTAATTCAGGAATGTTAATATTTCAAATTAATAGAAAAATAACTTCAAACGTATATGTTGTCGAGTAATACACAAAAACGTGAAGATTGCTTTTATCGAGCGTTAAAAAAAGTTTTTTCAACTTTGAAAGCAAATTACAGGAATATGATACTAGATACAAATATCCAAATAAATGCATATTAATGCCTGAATATTTGACTTTAGTTAGGGTCAAACATACATTTAGCTTGATTCGTTGTCGAATGTGAAAACTACTTTTTAGGCAACTTTATATACGTACAAATTTCTGTGGCAATTAGGAACTACAGTGGAACTTCGCTTAACGAGTTTAACCCGTTCCAAAATTTCCGGATTTTTACTCGTAAAGTGAAATAAATTCAAAAATAGATATAACATGTGTATAAAAGTTTTAAAAATGATGTAGCAGGACTTCTCTTCTCATCGTCACTCGTTATGCTAAACGTCGCTCGTTAAGTCATTTTTCTTATTATTCATTTTGCTCGTTAAGCGAGGTTCCATTGTACTTAAGACTGCCATCAGCTTGAATTTGTTTATTAAATTGATTGAACAATTAAAAAAATGTAATTATTTGTAAATAAAATAAGTAGTTAAATAAACAAGTTTTTATTGAGGCAAAAGATTCACGGAAAGTAAAAACTGGTAATAATATAAATTAGAAAAACCGGAGCAACAGGGAATAATTATGAATATATGATGACATGACTAGCTTCTTAGATCTTATTGAAGGCAGCGATGTCAACGCTCTGGACGTAGTCTTCGATACTTTCGATTTGCTCTTGCAGGGCATCAATTGATACTTTTTCATCTTCCACAACGCAGTTGATTTGCAACTTGTGGATACCGTAAGCCAAAGGCACAAGTTTGGAGGCGCCCCAAAGCATACCATCCATAACGATTTTTCTAACTTCACCTTCCAACAACTTCATGTCGGTTTCATCGTCCCAGGGCTTCACGTCCAAAATGATACTGGACTTAGCGATCAACGCAGGTTTCTTTGATTTCTTTGCGTTGTAAGCGCTGAGACGGTCCTCTTTAAGCTTTGCTGCGACTTCATCATCTTCAGAGTCAGAGTCAAAGAGGTCCACGTCATCATCATCCTCCTCTTCGACTGGTGCAGCCTTCTTACAGACTTGGGCTTTCGGGCAAACCATTGGACAAGATTCCGTCTTTGATCCCATCATGCTTTCCATGGAGACCAACCTCTCATTGAATTTCATCATCTGATTTTGGATGTTCAAGATCACTACACAATAAAAAAAAGATAATTAGACAACATTTTAACAATTAACATGCATATTTCTTATACTTACTGTTACTAAATTCAGACATTTTTTTCTCTATGAACATCATGGTTTCATTCTCCATTAAACCCATTGTGCTAACACCCTATAAAAATAACTAGAATTAGTAATGCAACAGTGTTTTCCACAAAAATATCAAACAAGAAGCCAGGCAAAGCAAAATGAGTATTTGATAAAAATAAGAAAGAAAAAATAAAAATATTACACACATTGACTGCACTCTTACCGAGTCAACTATATGTGTAGATTCAACCAATTCTGGTGTATTCAAGTTACTACAGTCCTATTGAAATAGACAAGTATTTAGCATTTTTGAATGTCCACAAATGAGTTATGGGCCTTACCAAGAAGTCAGTAATGAGCAGAGGTTGTGGACTGCTATTACCTGCCGACAACTCCTATACACAATATGCAATATATTTTATACACAGATTATTCATGCTCGGAAGCGACAGAAGCAATAAGAACTATTACTCACATCATCCATATTTTCCCTAATTTCAATTAACCGCTGTCTCGCTTTAGCAACCTCATCAGCCAGAGGAGTTAACAGTGCCTATGCCAAAAACATAATTAAAATCAACTGAATCTGAACATGACAAATATTAGTATTGTATCTCGCTGCAGGTCAGTTAATGTTGCACATAAAAATCCCATATATCCCTCAAACATATGGCAAAATCACTTACACTTCCTAAACGCTCAAAGTACTGAATCTCACTTTCATCAAACTTAGACTTATCCACCCAGAAGCTATCCAATGCTAAGTTTTGAGCAGCCATTCTATAAATAACAATTAATATATAAATAATTACCCCTAAACAGTTTCAGACACAAAAAATGAAAATGTTG